CACAGAAGGTGATTGCTGTGCCAGGCTCAGCCAGGCTCAGCAGTCCTGCTGGGCTCCTTCCATGGGAGACACGTCCCAAAAGCTGGGAGCAGCTGCACAGGGTGGCCATGGTGGGGAAAGGGCAGAGGGGGAGTGCAAGGCTCCCATGCCTCCTGACGGGGTCTGAGCCTGTCCCCTGGGGCTGGGGGAGGTGTCACGGGGCAGGGAGGGCCAGGGGTGGCAGTGGCTGCTCAGGGATGGCTTTGGCCCTTGTCCCTGGCAGCAGCCACTGCCCAAGCAGCTGCGCTGCCCCCGGGCTCTCCTCTCGGCCTGCTGGGCTTTGTTGGCTGGCACAGCCTGTGCCCAGGGCCGGCAAGGTGCCTGCAGGCCCCAGCTCTGGGGGAAACAGAGAGCGTCCTGCCCGTATTCACCGTGCTGCCAGCTCAGCAGTGCAGCACTGCACGGGCTCACGCTCCCCATCACTCCCACAGATGCAGCTGGCACCACAAGACCTGTTACCGATGCCCAGGATGGCCTCGGAAGGGGTTTCTGTCAGGGAACAGGCTGCTGGCTCCGGTTACTGGCAGGGGTCCTTTGTTTGGAGCTTGTCTTCATGTTGTGCTGCTTTGGAATCGGGTATTCCTGGAAGAGAAAACAGTTAGTGTTTTGTTGCTCTCCCCCTCAAACAGCTTCTTTTGAAAGTCTAACGTGGTCAGGGAACATTCCCATTGAGACTGCAGTGGGGTTGTGGCCAGTCCATGATTGTCCAAATAACTCTGCTGAGGGTTCTGCTGCTGCCCAGTGCTTCCATTGGCCTCCTAATTGCTGGGCCTTGTCCTGGGGGGCCCGCTGGGGCTGCAGCCAGAGCTGGCTCCCACTGAGGCTGCCTGGCCAAGAGCAGCCCCAGGGGCACGGGGCAGAGGCAGAGGGAGGTGGGGAGTAGAAAGAGCAGGGCCGAGGTTGCCCTTGAAAGGCAGAGGCGTTCTGGGGCCCGCTCCTGGCCAGGGACCCTGCCCAGAGCCGTGCCCTGCTGGCCGGGGCCTTGAGGGGCAGTTGTCCAGCTGGGCCCGGCTGTGCCAGCAGCTCCAGCCGTGCTGGGGAGCCTTGCCAGCTCTGGGCCCTGCTGTGCACGAGGGTCCCTGTGTGCCACTGGCAGCTGGGGCCTCAGCCACCTCCTCTCTTCACAGGTGCTCCTGTGCATCGTCAGCAGATGAGGCTAAGACCACAGGCAGCGGGAGCTTGACAGTTTATCCCAGCTCTCCACTTCTGCCCCTATCTGCCCTGCCGTGGCTGCAGCAGCATCAGGAGGCCGTCCCAAAACCCACCCTCCTCAACGAGACCCTCTGCCCCTGAGCCTCCTGGTCCTGTTCCTCGGCCAGGAATGAAGGTGGGCATCCCCTGTCTGCCAGGGCAGGGCTTGGCCCATATTTCATATTCAAATAAAAGAATAAAGTTTTCACAACCATGTCCGTGTGGTAGCAGCAGCAAAGCCCCCCCGGCACCAGCACTGACTGAGCTCCATGCCCAGGAGCAGCCGTGGATGGCCACGCTGTGGGCAGGCAGGGGCCAGGCAGGGGCTGCTGTGCCCAGCGGCGGGGGCCCGAGGGGGTGGGGGAGCCCCTGCTGAGTGTCCCTGGGCTGAGGGCACATTTCCTTCTGGGTGATCAGCTGGGCTTGGACCTTATGCGGTACACTGGGATATTTTGGGTTCCCTGCTGAGGAGTGCAGGGATCCCTCATGAGGCACAAAGGAGTATTGATGGCCTCTCCTAAGGTGTGCAGGGATCCCTCATGCAGTGGGCAGCAGGGTTAAATTTGAGGGGGTTTTTTACTCTTCTCAGCACAGCACAGGGACACTTGGCCGAGGTTTTGCCAAGCTGGGAGAAAGCCTCTTGCAAAGGCTTGGGCCCAGCCTGTGGGCACAGCGGGCGGGCGCAGCCCATCCCCTGGGCCAGTCCGGGCTGCTCAGGCCGGGCCGGGCCGGGCCAGGCTCGGGCCCCGGCAGGGAAGGGCCGCGGCCCTGGGCTCTGCTGAGGCTGCTGAGCTCCGGCCTGCCCTGTGCTGCAGCCCAACACATTGACAGCCATGGCCGTGCCCTGCGCCACCGCAGGCACCCGGGGCTACAGCTGAGGCCGCGCCTTCTCCCACTGAAGGGAGGCTGGCTCTGTTCCCTCGGAGGGCACAGCTTAGCTCCCAGCACCTTTGTGAACCTGCCTGCTGGGGAAGTGCTGGGAGCCAGAGAGTTCCAACCCTTCTCACTCGGAAGTGTGTCTGGTGGTGTAGGGATTTTAAATTTTTTTCCCTCTAAATTTGTGTCCTGGCAGAGGGTTAAGTTTGCTTGCTCTCAGTAGGGCGCTTTTCTTCTTGGCAGTCAGTGGGGCTTCAATGCAGCCAGGGTTGAAGGAGGATCTCTGGCTGCTTGGGCTGTGGTTGTGGGACACCTTGGCTTCATCCTCCCTTTGGCTGTGATTTGCACTGGTGCTTGTGCAGGCATTTTACTGTAAGTGGCTTCAGTTTGTTCCTCATGGTACCAAAAACCGAGAATAAACCTCTTTTACATCACTGTAGTATTAAGAGGCAGGCCTTACTTTCTTGACTTGCTGGATGCACAGGCCATTGGCATCACAGGGCCTTCTTGGTGGGGTCTTCAGATACCCTGGTGGTCACTGAAGAAAGAAGCTGATTTTTCTGGGAAAAAGATAGTTTCCCATGTGTGGAAAAGAATAACCTCTCACTTCCCCCTCCCTTTCTATACAAAGTGATACAGGCAAGTGCATTCATCTATCTCTGTCTGCCTTGTCAATCTATCTATCTATCTATCTATCTATCTATCTATCTATCTATCTATCTATCTATCTATCTATCTATCTTACTAATCTGTTGTGGTGTTGCATTTTATTCAAATGGTATGCTCTCAAAAATGTACCTCTTGAAAATACATGGTTTATTCCAATCTGTGTTCCTCCCCTGAAGTCCCATGAATCTGCAATCCCTTTGGCCCAAATCTTATTTCACACCTACTTTGAATTTCCCTCTTAAGCTGTGCAAGCAACAACAGATTCTCTCATGTCCCATCTCTCCCCTAGGCTCCCCCTCTCTCCCCCTCCTTTTCCCTTTCCCCCTTCTCCCTCAGAAACCATGTTACATCCGGGGCTGGGACCCCAATAAACCCTCATCTAATCAGCACCCTCAGAAGCCGTGTGGAGTCTCCTTGCGTGCCTGCTGCTGCCAGCGAACTCACAGCCCAGGGGGCCCTCCGGGGACACCCCGAGGAGCTCCCCTCAAAGGAACTGCTACAATCTATGAAATATTTCTATGCACGATATTTTGTTTATTTGGAAATTATGACACACCACTTGAGAGCTGGAAAAGAAAACCATCCATCTTTGATATAGCAAAGCTTGGGTGGAGGAGCAAACCTGAACTGTGATTTCCTTCTTGCTAGACATATGCTGGCTTCTTTAGATTGACTTTGAACCAAAATCCTGCAAAGCAGGAAAATGACTGGTGGCCATCACTCTGATATCCTTAAAAGCACTTTTTTCATTTTAATTGTTTTCATCTACGATGGCTGGTAAATACCTTTCTTCTCTAAGTTATGTGCTGGCAATATTGGAGGTAGAAAATAACATAATACTGCATATTTTAGATACTTGATAGTTTTCTTGTGAAATTTTAGGGCAGTATCTCCTGCCCCAAAACTAAAGCAGCAGGTCTGGGGGAGCCCATGCTGAGTGTCCCTGGGCTGAGGGCACATTTCCTTCTGGGTGATCAGCTGGGCCTGGACCTCATGAGGTACACTGGGATATTTTGGGTTCCCTGCTGAGGAGTGCAGGGATCCCTCATGAGGCACAAAGGAGTATTGATGGCCTCTCCTAAGGTGTGCAGGGATCCCTCATGCGCTGGGCAGCAGGGTTAAATTTGAGGGGGTTTTTTACTCTTCTCAGCACAGCACAGGGACACTTGGCCGAGGTTTTGCCAAGCTGGGAGAAAGCCTCTTGCAAAGGCTTGGGCCCAGCCTGTGGGCACAGCGGGCGGGCGCAGCCCATCCCCTGGGCCAGTCCGGGCTGCTCAGGCCGGGCCGGGCCGGGCCAGGCTCGGGCCCCGGCAGGGAAGGGCCGCGGCCCTGGGCTCTGCTGAGGCTGCTGAGCTCCGGCCTGCCCTGTGCTGCAGCCCAACACATTGACAGCCATGGCCGTGCCCTGGGCCACCGCAGGCACCCGGGGCTACAGCTGAGGCCGCGCCTTCTCCCACTGAAGGGAGGCTGGCTCTGTTCCCTCGCAGGGCACAGCTTAGCTCCCAGCACCTTTGTGAACCTGCCTGCTGGGCAAGTGCTGGGGGGCAGAGTGTTCCAACCCTTCTCATTGGGAAGTGTGTCTGGTGGTGTAGGGATTTTAAATTTTTTTCCCTCTAAATTTGTGTCCTGGCAGAGGGTTAAGTTTGCTTGCTCTCAGTAGGGCGCTTTTCTTCTTGGCAGTCAGTGGGGCTTCAATGCAGCCAGGGTTGAAGGAGGATCTCTGGCTGCTTGGGCTGTGGTTGTGGGACACCTTGGCTTCATCCTTCCTTTGGCTGTGATTTGCACTGGTGCTTGTGCAGCCATTTTACAGTAACTGGCTTCAGTTCTTTCCTCTTGCCCCCAAAAACCGAGAATAAACCTCTTTAACACCACTGTAGTATTAAGAGGCAGGCCTTACTTTCTTGACTTGCTGGATGCACAGGCCATTGGCATCACAGGGCCTTCTTGGTGGGGTCTTCAGATACCCTGGTGGTCACTGAAGAAAGAAGCTGATTTTTCTGGGAAAAAGATTGTTTCCCATGTGTGGAAAAGAATAACCTGTCACTTCCCCCTCCCTTTCTTTGTAAAGTGATACAGGCAAGTGCATTCACATATCTCTATCTGCCTTGTCAATCTATCTATCTATCTATCTATCTATCTATCTATCTATCTATCTTACTAATCTGTTGTGGTGTTGCATTTTATTCAAATGGTATGTGTTCTCCGGCCTCTCCCGCGGCCCCTCAGCTCTGGTTTGCTCCCTCTTTGCCAGATGCAGCCAAGGACCAGACTCAAGAGCAGGATCCCACCCGTGGCCGCTTCCGCAGAGCGGTGCAGGTATCTGCGGCCATCCTCACCTGGGCCGGGCCTGCTGGCACTGCTCGGCCCAGCCCCGCACTTGGAGCAGACCATGGAACGTCCCTCTCTTCCCGCCCTTCCTTCTGCTGCAGGCACTGCGGAGGTTCCTGCGCATTCGGCGCAGAAAGACCAGAGCCAGCGTGACCAAGGGCACAGCCAAGCCCAACTCCACGCCCAGTGAGCTGCAGACAGAGCCTGCTGCCAGCACAGCGTCCACTGAGCTCGCTGCAACCTCTGACCGGGCAGCGGCCGAGGGCAGGGCAGAGGCTGGCATGGCCCTGACTGAGGGCATGGCCGCCGGGCCTGCTGGCACAGCTCGGCCCAGCCCCACGCTTGGAGCAGGCCATGGAACGTCCCTCTCTTCCCGCCCTTCCTTCTGCTGCAGGCACTGCGGAGGTTCCTGCGCATTCGGCGCAGAAAGACCAGAGCCAGCGTGACCAAGGGCACAGCCAAGCCCAACTCCACGCCCAGTGAGCTGCAGACAGAGCCTGCTGCCAGCACAGCGTCCACTGAGCTCGCTGCAACCTCTGACCGGGCAGCGGCCGAGGGCAGGGCAGAGGCTGGCATGGCCCTGACTGAGGGCATGGCCAACTCAAACAGCCAGACTCAGGCCAACCCAGAGACTGACGTCATGACTGCACGGACTGTGAGTCCTGCACCCAGGCTGGAGTTTTTCCAGAAGGGTGTTTCTTCTCTGCAGCAGGCAAGCAGCCTGGGGCCAGGGCAGGAGGCCTCTCAGGATCATGTGGCCCCTCAAGCCACGTCCACTAGGCTCACTCAGCCTTTGGGGCCATCACAGTGGGGTGGGAAGGCAAGCACTTCCTGGGGGAAGCTGGGGAAGTTGCTCCCTTGGACAGCACACCAAGTCTTCCCCATGCTGCTTCCTCCAGGTGTTAGCCACGGTCAGGGACATTCTACAGAGACTCGCGTCCTGCGACACTGTGGATGCTGAGCTGCAAACGGACATTGTGAGCCTGACTGAAAAACACCCTGCTCACGTGGTGATGAGCCTCCTGCACTGTGCCCCATTGTGTGACAGGTACGGAGCACAACTGCATCAAGAGAGAATACCATCCATCTTTGATACAGCAAAGCTTGGGTGTAGGAGCAAAACTGAACTGTGATCTCCTTCTTGCTAGACATATCCTGGATTGTTTAGATTGACTTTAAACTGAAATCCTGCAAAGCTGGAAAATGACTGGTGGCCACAACTCTGGTATCCTTGAAAGCCCTTTTTTGAATTTAATTTTTTTCATTTATGGTGGCTGGTAAATACCTTTCTTCCTTAAGCTATGTGCTGGTAATATTGGAGGTAGAAAATAATATAATACTGCATAGTTTAGATACTTGATAGTTTTCTTGTGAAATTTTATGGCAGTATCTCCTGCCTAAAACTGCCTCAAAACTAAAGCTGTGCGGGCCAGGCACAGAGGTGGAGAGTCCTTCCTTGAGCACTTGGCCGGCCTTGGTGTGTCCAGGGCTGCATTAGACACTCGGGGCAACAGATTCCTTCCAAACGGGGGCACCTTGCCTGGGGAGGGGGTGGCCCCGGGGCACACAGCAGTGTCTCCAAGGGCCCCTTGTGACACGCTGCAGTTGGGTCACCGTGGGGCAGAGTGGGACAGGGTGTCACAGCAGCCCTTTGTGACACGTGCTGACATAGGTGCTGGCAGTGTCGCAGCCAGGCCACAGTGCTTGGTGCACGCGACGGGACAGGACGGGACAGAGCGGTGCTGTGAGGAGCCCTCACACAGCCAGCTCATTCCTTGCTGACCCAGAGCTTTTCCGAGGCATTACTCCTGCGGCTGGTCTCACGGCCAGACCTCGGGACTCGCTGACTTGGAGCTTTTCCAAGGCATCCCCCATCCCTGCGGCCGGTGCCTTCGTGGCCAGGCCGTGGGACTTGGTGACATCCATTGTTCACGAGGAGTCTCCTGTCATTGTGGCAGGAGCCCTCGGGAACACAGTGCAGGACTTGCTGTCCTGTAGTCTTCCTGAGGCCTCTCTGTTGCAGGTGCCTGCAAGGCGCGACTGCAGCATCGCTGACTCGGACCTTTGCCAAGGCATCTGTCTCGAAGGTGTCCTCGAGGTCGGACAACAGGATGGCGAGCAGAGTGTTCAACCTGTTCAGGAGGCTTCGGGGGAAGAAAAAGAACAGCCCTGCAGCTGCCCCAGCGCAGCAGCCTGCAGAACCAGAGCAGTTGCAGCCACTGCAGGATGGTGAGTGGTGGAGCTGGGCTGCAGGGCTGGTGCCTGCAGCCAGCCTGGCCCCATCCCATCCCATCCCATCCCATCCC